CAAACTTGTTGTTTGCTTTTATTGGTCAGTCAAGTTGCATCTCTGTCTCTCTGTCTCTCTCTGTCTCTCTCTCTCTCTCTCTCTCTCTCTCTCTCTCTCTCTCTCTCTCCATATCTCTCTGTCTCTCTCTTTCTCTTTATCTCTCTTCCTGTTATTGCCCACCTTGTTGTCTTAGTTAGGGTTCCTGTTTTTTTTTTTTTTTCAATTCACAAAACACCAAAAAATACTGAAAGTCCCAGGCAGTATGTTTTACCGTGCCATTTGTTCATTTATCTTTTTCTTTCGTTCCGCAAGTGCCCTCCCCCCCCCCCCTTCTTTTATTGTGCTCGTATTTCAGTCTGTAAATGAAGTCTGTCTAGGTCTCACAACCCCCCCCCTCCCCACACACACTTTAACACTTGGCTTGTGTTATGCAGTGTTCAACTGCGTAGTAGAAGACGCCACCGTATGCAATTTTGTCAAGTGATGTAAAACACAGTCTTGCACTGAGAAGTCGTAGTGCATCTTACAGTTTGACGATAACAGACCAGTTGCAACTTCAAAGAAAGTCCGAAATTGGGTCAAATTTTACGTTTGTCGAAAAAGATGGCTTGGAAGGAAACCCTACTCTTTGGTGGCCTCCGTTTTCTCTGGTGTGGGTTGCTCCTTCTATCTCCCTTCAAAAATCTTTTGTCTTTATTAAACCTCTCCTCTTTCTTTTCGTTGTACGTTACTCTCTATCTAGTAACCCCTCTTAATCTTCAGCACCTTAATGACCTATCTGTGTTGGACGTGCCGTAAAACTGTAAAACTCTTACTAAAACAAAATTAAACTAATTGTCTTTCATCGTGTTCATCGTGGTCTGCTGTAGAGTAAGTTGACAGAGCGCAAATACTGTATACATATTATTATAAAATATGTGAGGCAGCGTGGTGAAATCTGGTGCTCGTCAAAATACAGAAATCTGAGAAACTGGCATTTCTCCACCAGTTTGGAAATTTTTATCGAATGTTTAATTTTTGGCTCAACCTCTTTTATGTCCGTATAAAAACACATTTCCATGTGAATTTTACTGAAACACATTAATTAAAGGCACAAAATCAAGGACTCTTTAGTCTTTAGCTATGGAGTTGCCAAACTTTGGCGGCCATTTTCTCGCTAATTTCACCACTGAAACCAGGCGACCTCACTCCCTTCAATCGCAAATATCTTGAGTTCTATTCAAGATAGATGGATATTTATTTTATTGGAAGCAAGGCAAATGAATCAGCTTCCAGATGATACCGATAACTCCACATGCCCAAAAATTGACGAGCAACTGATTCCACCAGGTCGTGACATATAATATATATATATATACACATACATATGTATATAATTATGTAATGGTCTAGCACTCTTTGACATTGGTTCGTTCAATGTTTTCCTCAAAAGTACTGTATACTGTACTTTGGAGTTACTCTGGAGTCAGCTATATTGATGTATATATATAAGCAGTTAAGTAATGTCTTTTGTTCATTTATATTTCTCTTTTTTTTTCGGGGGGAGGGGAGTGGCCACCTTCTTTATTGTGCTTGTAATATATATATATATATCTCCATTTGAACATGCTGTAATGACCACCTGTCCAGGATGAGCATCTACTTACCTGAATACTTGAATGTAGAACTGGGGGTCTTAGGAGGACGGGGTGCTCCATGCTTCCTCGCCCTCCTCTTCATAAGGCTGTCCCTGCGGTTTAATGCCAAAAAAAATTCTGAAATTATGCAAACTGATCTAAAAAATTATTTGAAATTATACGATTCTGTTATTTTTTTTAGCAAAGAATGATAAAAGGAAAATAATCAGAAATAATGAGAAAAAAAAAGATCAAATTTTGCTAAATTATGCGGTGTGCATAAAACCCCAGGGACAGATAAGTGTGGGCAGGCTGATTGTCTCCATCATCAGCTGGTTGGATGATCACCTGTACCAAATGACCACTTGCCACCTCCACTGTGCATTTTTTTTTCTTCTTCTGTATTTCAATGACACCGTACAAGAGACCTGCTGTGTAAGATGGCCGCTCTTCTCTCTCTCTCTCTCTACGGCGGTGAATGGTCATCCCAAACTGGTTTGACCATAATGTTATTCATAATATATTATATACAGTGGAATCAACTGAAACTGAAATCTGCAGGACTGCTGTTTTGTTGTTTTTTTTCTCGTTTTTTTTAACCTGTGATTTTGATTTCGAGATGTTTTATGAATAGATGGGGTTTACAAAAAAACTTTGAGGATATATATATGTCTTATGACGTGGTGGAATCAGGCACTCATCAATTTTGGGGCATATGGGGTTATTGGTATCATCTTAAAGTCTGTTCTTTTGCCCTCCTTTTGGTGAAAAAAAATGTATCTATGTTGAATAGAAGTCAAAATATCTGCGATTGAAGGTGATCAAGGTCGCCTCGTTTCAGAGGTAAAATTGTCGAGAAAATGGCCGCAAAGGTTTGGTAACTTCCATAGCCTAAGAGTCCTTGGAAACTGAAAATTTACATTTTTTGTGTCTTTCATCAATTTTTTTTTAGTAAGATCTACGGAGAAATGTGTTTTTGAATGGACATAAAAGATGTTGAGCAAAAAAAAGAAAAGAGAAAAAATTGCCCGTTGACAAAAAGATGCCGGTTTCTTTGATTTCATTATTTTGACAAGCGCCCGATTTCACCACGGTGTCTCACATATATATATATATTTTTTCAAATTTTTACCACAGTTTTTGGATTTTAATGGTGTTTGATTTAAGCGGACTCCGTTCTGTAAGTTCCAGTTGCTGGCTGTTCATGAGATGTAGCAGAGAAGAAAAAGATCTAGTCAGACACACCCTTACATGCCATTGATTTTTAAAGTTTTAGTAGAGGTTTTACGGCACTCGCAACTGCATAAGGTCATTTGAGCGCCGGAAGATTTAGAGGTGTTGCAAGAGAGTAACAAACATAAAAGAGTAGAAGGGGGGCTAAGGACGATAGATGTTTGATAGGAAAGAAGGAGCAAACCACACCAGAGCACCCGCCTACCACCTCTTTGATTCCAAATGTAGTGATGGTGTCTTTCCCTTTAGAGCATATCAAGGAAGTCGAGACCAGAAGGGAGGGAAGTACGACATAATAATATGATATAGTACTTGAGCGATCTACTTCCTCTATGTCCACCACACATAGCTGTACCATGTATACTGCTGTAAGATCTACTTCCTCTATGTCTACCATACAAAGCTGTATCATG